GTAAAGGTCTTGACAGAATGTGCAACAGATCCTAGGGGAACGTAATGTATCCTTTCAAGCTATAATGTAGTCTATTTTGCAAAGGTTTCTGTACCAACACATTTGAGGATGCTAGGACAAATAGAGACAGACTAAATAACTCACCAGGCTTTACAGAGATAATTTGTGTACTATACTACACACCATAGAAGATTATAGTCCATTGAAAATGGGGATGGTTTTAAAAACAGATTTCCAATCAAGCAAGTACTTAATAATTGCAAATGATTTTCATAGCTGCTTAATTTAAAATTTGACCATTATGAAAACTATTATTCGTCAATCATTAAAACAAGGCCTCAGTTCATATTGCTCAATCAAACTTGTATGATCAGACAATGTAGGCATGTTATCATAATCCATCATAGGCCTTGAACTTTTCATTCATGAACTAAGAAAAATGATGCATATTATATACACGTCCTTTCTTGCCAAAAGACATGGCTAAGCAGTTCCACAAGCAACACGGCACTCAACATATAAGTTCGTTTAATCAGAAAATAATAGACTGACAATGAAACCAAACCACAGCATTCATAAATCCAAACATAGATAGCATGGATGAGGTGTATAAGAAGCGGTAAACTAATACTATCCAGGGAATAATGCCGAGCGTTTGAAACGCCCTATTATCGGAGTTGCTCAGTTACAAACAAATTGATACGTAAAGTATAAAAGCAGCTCAGGAAAGCAAAAAAAGCGAAGAAAAAGTACCCTATTTTGGTCAATGACATCGACGATGACAACAAGTTTCCCGTAATCCTTCCCGTAGTTGACGAGGGCAACTCTTCCGATCTCTACAAACCTCTTGAACGGCTGCAGAAAACAATCCAACACATTTCTTCAAATCTCAACATTAAATCTCAGTGCTCGGAAATGCGTAAACTGCGTTAAAGCTTACCATTTTCGGCGATCTGATGGTGATGCTATCAGGCGCGAAGAGTGAGGCTACTGGTGTGGATTGTCAAGTGAGTACTAGGGTTTTCGAGGAGATGATATAGTGTTAGGTTATTCTGTCTGGATCTGGACTCGCTGCTTTAAATTTATATGGGCTTAGGCCCACTACGAATTGATATGGTTTGGGACTGGGATACAGATATAAATCATTCTGCACAGCTATTTAAATTAGGGAAAATTATATGAAATGGCAAACATTCATAACTAATTATATATTAGGGGTATAGTTTAATTTATTTACATTATATAATTATAGTTTATTTTATTTTGCTATAATTAATGGGGGCCCACAACCTATTATGTAACCAATTGTATAAAAACCTTATTTTTTAATTTTGTATCTAATTATATACAATCTAATTTTCTCTCTCCTATTCACAATTAATTTTCTCTCTCCTTTCCTCATTC